CCATGAAAACATCAATAAGTTCATGAGGAACGAGAACAAGCCGTTTTAGTCTGATTAATTTCTTGCATGAACTGTTTCTGATAAGTTTTTAACACTTGATAGTTTCTTTTTGTATTTTGCTGTCACAGGCTTCTTCGGCTAAGGTTTTTATTTACTTTTTTTTTTTTCACAGAAGTAATGGCTGGTCTAGTCCCAGACTTGTCCTGACACTGGTTCTTTTCAGAATGCTCACAATTAATTTTAAAGCGGGTTGGTCTAATGAAAAATGTTTTTAAGATATCTCATGACTATTAATTGAAGGCTTATCATATCCTAGAAATCTTCAAATTTCATTTTTAAAATTGTTTATAGCTGTATCACGTGACCAGACACGCACTGTTTTATCGAGAAATCCTTGGGGTCGAAATGCGTACCATATAGAGAGCAAACCCTTTTCCTTTTGTAGGTCCAAACAGTGGCTACTAATAGTCCTCTTGTAAAAACCGTCAGAATGAGAGGAGGTCATTTAACGTCTTTCTCGTAACGAAAATTTTAGTTAGAGGAGGACTAGGACTAGTTAATGACCACCAATTGGACCTACAAATTGTAACGATTCAAACCATTCCGAGCTGATTTCGTAGACACCTTGTAGCATCAATGTACACTTTTAGCAAGTGGTGGGCATTGTTGGTTACAACTTTCGAATTGTAAAAATTTAAATTTTTTTTTTAGTTTACTTCACAATCTATTATTCCTCGTAGATGTCTATAAAAATAGTTTTTGAAAAATTGTGCAAGAGAATCACGAATGACTTAGAACCAGGCCTCAATTTACTTGAGGCAGCAAAAATCCATGCTGATTGTCTAATCCAATATGAGATTTACAAAGGAAAGACGGGTTAAAATCTAAGAGAGAATTTTCTTTAGTCTTTTATGCAAGAAAATGGTCGGATAAAATTCCAACGGGAGGACGGAATTTAAACTGGTCCAGCTTTTAAGAAGAGATTTCCTAGGCACGCGTGAAGACGGGTTTTCGCCTCTAAAATCAATTCAGCAAATACTTCCTTCGCTTACTCTGCCGGTGTAATACTAAAATGTTCTAGTCATTGCATTTTGTTTTTCAGGCTGCTATTAACAGTGATTCTGATTCTAATTTTAGTTAACATTGCGAACGTAACAAAACTTAGAATGCAGTTTGTTCAAACAAAAATTTACTGTATTTATAGCATTTTTAATGACGTTTACTTCATAATTAAGCGATCGGGGCCGCAACTTACTAGAAGGAAAAAAACAGCCTTGGATTTAAAAAGAACTAATTATCCTAAGCTAGAAACCGAAATGCCCTTAGCTCGAAAATGAAGCAACCTGTCTGCCAAAACCGAAGCACTCTCAACTCTCCTGTGAATTAACGCCTGCAATCAAATAATATTATGGGTCAGTAATTTTCAAACTTGATTCCCCCTCTCCGATCATTGGCCGGGCACATTTGCTCACGCTGGTGCATTTTGTAATCAAACGTCTGTCGCGGGGAAAGAGATTTGTCGTTAACTCCGTACGCTGGGCGGAAGTTTGTTGTATTAAGCGGTGTTGGGCATTTTTTTATACGGTATTTAGAATTAATTGCGGAAAATTTGTAAACGTGCTAATTTAAGTTTGACGAATTTTAAACGGTATTTCTCGCGCGGGGGTTTTACTTCAAATTGATCTGCCGATTTTTTTTTTTTTTTGGTTGTACTTTTTCCGGAAGCCCCACCGATGCGCTCGGTAGTTACTATGAACAAAATTGGCTTCAATAAATAATTCAATATATGAGATCATGTCCGGTTTCCATTTGCGATTGTACAAAGCTTGTCACTCAGTGTCAACATCGTTATTCCCGCCATGATAACAAATTGTGAAGTGGTTTAGTGAACCCTTTCTTTCCTAGAGTCAATTTTTTGGAAGACATGTAACACCAATGAAGTAAGGTGGATCCACGGTAAAATCCTATCATTTGACCATTCGACAGTGAATAAAACCTCTTCGGCCGTCAGGGGAACCCAACGAGAATGTAGTTCAAAACCACTTAAACATAGCATTGTTAAACGTATTTTAGTATTTAAACGGTAGATATCTTTATCCCCTAAAAATTTTTCATCTGTTCGGATTTCCTAGCTGAAAGTCTAGTGATGCGAAAATTATAGGGATCAAAACTTACCTTTTCGAAAATTTCAGCCAATAAAAAAAGCTCTCGAAAACTCTAGGTGACCTTTTTAGCGTAAAAATCCGTTAAAAATGGGCAATTATACCATTTTTTAGATGTTCAAAAATCCTAGGAGAGGCAGGCAAGCAAGAAATTTTACAACAAATGCCGTTCCGAATAGTCGAGACCTCAAATAGTCTTGCGAACAGATATTTTCCAAAAATTGTCGTCGGGTGCCCCTGGGCCGTGCTTTTACATAGAACTATGCGTAATATAAGTTTATCAATGTGTAGTTTGAATTGTTCTAGGGTCTTCTAGCTTTTGAGGATTTATGGAAGAAATCTTATGATGTAACCCGCGAATGAAACCTCTTCAGCAGTACTTTCATTTGGTACTATTTATTCAGTATGTAGTTCTAACTTTTGAGTCTGTGGATGAAATCCTATGGTGTTACCAATCAAATGAAACCTCTTCAGCAGTACTTTCACATGGTACTGTTTATTTAGTAGGTTGTTCTATCTTTTGAGTCTGTGGATGAAATCCTATGGTGTTACCATTCAAATGAAACCTCTTCAGCAGTACTTTCATATGATACTATTTATTTAGTATGAGGTTCTAACTTTTGAATCTGTGGATGAAATCCTATAGAGTGACCATTCAAATGAAACATCTTTAGCAGTACTTTCACATGGTACTATTTCAGGGGCACCCAACGTCAATTTTCTGAAAAAATCTGTTCGGAAGACGATTTGAGATATATCTAGAATTTTTCGGAACAGTTGTTGTATAATTTCTTGCTTGCCTTTCTCTCCTAGGATTTTCGAACATCTAAAAAATGGTATAATTGCACATTTTTAACGGACTTTTACCCTAAAAAGGTCACGTAGAATTTTCGGGAGCCTTTTTTCTGGCTGAAATTTTCGAAATCGTTAGTTTTGATCCCTATAATTTTCGGATCACTAGACTTTCAGCTAGCAAATCCGAACAGATGAAAATTTCTTAGGAGATAAAAATATGCCTATATATACCGTTTAAATACTAAAATACCTTCATCAATGCTACGTTTAAGTGGTTTTGAACTATATATTCTCCTTGGTTGCCCTTGCTATTTATATTTAGTATGTACCTACCGTATTTCACGGAGTTTTATTTTCTTGATTTCAATAGGCAAATACGAAAAAGGGCATTAAATTTCGCGATTCAAGCGGTGTTCTCAATTTGATTTTGGTTTCAATCTTCTGAACTTTGATAACGTTATAACGCCATTTCACAACAGCAGACAGTCACGAAATGTAACATACCAGTAAAACCAGCTAATAACTTGTCAGTATTTGTCAACACATGCATATATCATGTAAAGTGAATGTTGTAGTAATTAAATGTTATTCATTTTTTTCTGCGATTTGAATTTTCTAAATGGATATTAAATTTCGCGGCGATTTTTATTCGCGGGTCTTTAATTTAGTGATTTTTCCACAATCGCAAAAAACGCGAAATGAAAGACCTGCGAAATTAAGTACCAATAACATTTAAAGGTAGTTCTAACTTTTGTGTTTGTGGACGATGGTGGTGGTGGTGGTGGTATTTATCATTACTGAGAAGGTAATATTAGCGTTCCCAATTTTAAGTTTTGATAGTTTTGAAAGTGAAAAAGTAGTAAAATGTGACAGTTGCGGTTATCATGATTATTAATCATAGCGGCTGAATATATTTAAGCTGTTCAAACAGGATCAACCAAGAATACTTTTATCACTGCACCAAACTATTACAAATAATGACCACTATTTCATCACTAAGGCTATTACAAAAACTTTAAAACTTTAAAACTTTAAATTCTGGAGAACTGGCTAGAAAATCTTAGGATTATTTCAGCTCCAGGCCTTATTAAGTACAAATAAATAAATAAATATATATATATATATATGTATATTTTCTCTTTCATGTGTGTAGGTAATTAATTAAGTACAAGGCGAATAAAGGTATCGTTGTTGTTGTTGTTGTTCATTACAAGTTACGATAGATCGATCAGATCTAAACAGAAATTCTCTTGCACGAAATCAATACTGACAGTACCTTCATCAGGTCGCCCCATGTAAGGTAATCCGGAATCCGGAATCCAGGTAATTTTGGTCTGTGGAATCCGGAATCCACGGCTTTGGAATCCGGAATCCAGCTAATGGAATCCGGAATCCAAGCATTGTAATCCAGAATCCAGGTTGCTGGAATCCACTCTGTGGTGATGGTTCCGGGGCCTCTTCTTTTCCTTTAGCGACTGTTGCGTGAAAATCTCATGTCGCAAGGACGCGCAACAGGCATGTTCACGCGTGTTTCCCTCGCAGGAACATCCCTTGTCATTGTGACATATCGGGTATCAATTTGAAACAATGGTCACATTATAATGACGTGACAGAATCCCAGGGAGTGATTCATATTACTGTATATTATCGCTCTTTATAAGACACCCTTTCGACCGGGCCTTTCGACCTTTTTCCCCTTTGCGCTTTTGGAGTCGGAGGTTTAGATTCTTTTCCTGTTTGGGCGCAATTGGAACTAATTTTTGGATTTCGGGTAACGTCAAAAGAACAATAATACAAAGTATCCTTATTCTTGGCCGTAGTATCAGTAGTCGCTGTGGTTGCAGTTACTGGCTTCTTTAATTTCAGGCACATGTCATCAGTGTCACTCAAAGAATGACATGCTGCACGTGGTGTCGACGTGGTGTCTTTCATTCAGTCCAGATTCAATCAGTCGAAATCAGACATCTCGAGAGATCACTTTGAATTTTTTTCTCAATCGATCGTTATCAATCTTTGTCAGCATGGGGAAGCACAAGAAAAAGCATGACTCGGAAAGGTACGTACGTCTATAAATTCGCTGACTGCGATCCCAAGCAAAAGAGCTTTATGAATTCCATGCTAGCAGACAGGGCGAAGTACCCCTACCACGTCCCTATTCCTGACTGCCCACACAACATCAAGTCAGTACGTTCTGCAGAGTTTTGGCATTGGATTGACATTGATGGATACCTAGTGAATGTAAGGCTGCTTTTGGTGCTACGTAGAGAATACGAAGACATCAAGAAATCAGTTTCATTGAAAGCAGTTCGAAACAAAGATCGGATGGATGTAGAAACAGCAGTGGAGATTCACCGGAAAGCGATTCAAGATTCCATTCCAGATGAAAGAGTGAGCACAACATTAGTTCCAGAACTGGAATTCAAGCACTGGAAAAAGAACAGGGCCTCTCTTTTAAGCTACCCGGTAGGATTGGCATTCTCCCCAAAGCATAGCAGGCTGTTTATTACCGATAGACGTCTCCATGCAGTCTTCATGGTTGACATGCACTGTCCAGCAAATGTCACATTAATCGCTGGGGGTGGTGAGCCCAGGCACACTAATGGATATGGCAACAAGGCCAGATTTAGAAACCCAGCTGGTATTGCGGTGAAAGAGAGCGGGAAGCTGTACATTTGTGACCAAGGAAACGGAAGAGTTAGAGTAGTCAATTTGCTAACGCTTTTCTGTCACGCTTCCCAGATTGTACAAGGGAGCGCCGAAGAAAGCCAAAGTGAGGAAGAAGTTTGCGCCGGTAGACGTATCCGTAAAGTCCATGTACACGATCTTTCCCTTATTTCTGAAGGTAATGTACCGGATCTGGTGTCACCTTTTGCCATATGTGCGTCTGCAAAGGGTAGCGTCGAACTGTTTATGTTAGACGTTGGTCTTGGCAAGATTTTTTCAATTTCTGGTGTTGTAGACGATGAGGAAACTAACTGCGTCGGCCAGTTAAATGAATTGTTTTGTTTTGATCGATCTAGTTTATTAACTTCATTAGCCTTAACACGTGACGAGCAATACTTGTTAGTTGGAGACGGGAATGGTTCATGTATTCATCTTTGTCAAGTGAGAGGACGATTGAAACTGAGAACAATTTCGAATATTCCAGGCCTCATGGGTATTACAGTGACAGATGATGGAACCGTGTTCTTGTCCTCCAGCAAAGAACACGCACTGTTCAGTTTGAAGGAAGAAGAGATGCTTGGGGGTAAAGAAACCTTAACAAAAGTGTGTGGAGAAACTGCAGGCCATCGTGATGGTGTCCAAAGTCGATGGAACAAGCCTACTGCTTTATGCGTATATCGAAACACTGTTTTCGTATGCGATACCGGTAACGTAGCAATAAGAATGTTGATGTCAGCAAAGGGACTGATCCCCCTGCAAAGTAAGATGGCCCAATATGCAAACGTGTTCCGACTCGACAAGAAAGCCAAAGAAGAAGACCTACCACGTACATTTGAAGATCATGTGAAATCTGTCGAGGAGTTGGCTGCATTTCTCTCTAACCACGAACAGGAAGCCCTGGAGAGGACGGGCAAGCGAAATACCAACGGTCCCGACATGACCATACCTCGATGCACCCGACAGTCCTTCCTCATAGTGCTAGAATCGCTGACCAGCCTTACCAACATGCTAACGGAGATTGGGCATAGTCACCTTCTGGACAGGATCTGTTTCGAAAGTATGACAACTTTGGGCGTGGAATGCTATTTCAAAGGAATGCGAGCAGACCACGACATGCCTACAGTGGCTAACTACGCTTACAGAAAAGCGCGCTGCGTGGAAGACGATATGCTGCGCATTTACCAGAAGAATTTCTCATATTTCACTGGGCCCAATTCATATTATCCGGAGAAAATTATCAAAGTGAACGCCCAAACATCAAGACGCGACCAAACAAGCTGTCAGCAATCACTGAAGGAACAGGTAGCAAAGAAGAAGACACAAGGCGAGAAACTGTGATGCGAGAATTTGCTAAGGAGTATGGAAGAGGCGTAAGACAGGAAAATGTCCGCTCAAAAACGAAAGAGCTAACTGGCACCCTTCCTTATGCCCTTAGTATGTGTCCCACTACCATCACAGCCTCATTAGAGGAAAGCGAAGACGTAACAACAGCCTGCCAAGTTGTGGATGCTAATGTGGCATTGCGGAGTACGGCTGTACGGGTGCAAACCATTTACCAGAAAGACGACATATTGGCAGTAAGACACAACCATAGAAGAGAGATCTCACCCTTCTGGCTAGCAGTTCTTCTGGAGGATGAACAAATAGAAGCGAATGGTGGAAATTTTGTGCAGCAAAGAGTATCCCTAAAGTGGCTAAACCAAACAAGTGATTCACTAACATACACCTCCGGTGATGTCTGTAATGGGAATTCCCCCAAGTGCATTCTAACCCGAGTACTCGACTTTTCTTCCGATGGATCAGACATCATTTTAACAACAGAGGAGGATAACAGGCTCTGTCGAATTGCTAATGGGGACTACGGTGACGATGATGACAATGAGAATGAAACTGCACCACCAACTGCAGAGGATGAGGGAGAAGTATCCCTCCCGATAAGACTGCCGGGAGTTAGTTTATCAGGACGGAGAACGACACGGTTTATTCTAAGATAAACGTTTCCGTTGCCTGCGTGGCTTGTAGTATAGTAATTGGACTATCTTCACGCTATTTGTTGGTAAGCTGTAACTGAAGTTTTACATTTCTGTGTGGCAATTAAACAATTCGGAGACGAATTATGTTTGAACCTGAAAAGCACTGATTTTGGCAATGTGTACCTCTTTTGTTATTGTTGATGCCGTTGTTATTATTAAAATAAGAATAGCCCTTCCTCGTTAGTATTTCTTCAACGATGTGGACTCAGTGGACTTCAGAAACCGCTCCTATATTCATAATCCTCTCGGGTAAGGCCAAGAATTATATTTTATACTTATATTTTATATAAGACAATGTACACTTCGGGTAAAAAAAGAACAAGCTTTTTTGGTGAAAACAAAGTACAAAGGAAACGTTGAAAACCAGAAAATAGAATTTTGAAATCTGGAATCCAGCCACTTATGGAATCCGGAATCCACGGATGTGGAATCCGGAATCCACAGGCATGGAATCCGGAATCCACAGCGTGGAATCCGGAATCCAAGACTCTCTTGGATTACCTTACATGGGGCGAATCAGGGCCGTTTTAATAATAGCAACTGACGCTTTGATTATATGGTTTAATAGATATACATGGAGCTGTCACTCGTTACTTACGCGGCAATGTAACTCCTTGTCACCAGTTTAAGAATCTCAGTTGACCACCTACAGATATTCGTTCATTTATTTCGTTAGCTAGTTAGTTAGTTCGTTAGTTCGTTAGTAGGTTAATTCAATGTAAAATTGGAGACACGTCAGCTGCTGAGGTTGCTGAAACGTCAGTTCGGGGGTTTAAATAGCCACGCAAGTGGCTGCCACTTTTAATGATTCTGAAAAGCGAAACCTAATCACTGGTTAACTGTAAGTAATATTGCATGATAATAATATCACACCTGTGCAGCTCAGGACCACTGCTTGCCAGTAGAGTTCAGTTTTGATTGATAATGCTCAAAAAGTAGTATAGCATTGTACGGTGGATACCATGGCAAACTGAATGACAGTTTATCAGTATAAATACAAGTCTAAATCGTTGTAGTGATTTTTTTTTTCCAGATCAAAGCATTCATCATGACGCAGAGTGGAAATGGAGATGGAGCAGCAAGGAAGAGTGATGTCACATCACTTGATAATAATCAAGATCTGGACTTTGACAATGACACTCTAAAAGGTAAATAACTGTTAAAGGCACAAATGAAGGGGTACATTTGAAATGTAGACTAAGATGCCACCAGTTTGAAAACAAGTTGCGGCATTTTCAACCGACATCATTAGTTACAGCAGAATAAAAATATATGCTGACCCTTAACCTGCAGATCTTTGAGGGTTGCTGCGATACACATATTTCTCGTAAGTACTCACAAGTGGTTAGAAACGTCGATAAACAATATTGAAAGAACATAAGTATCTACAAGTATGTAAGATCTACAAACATTCAAACATCTCCTTAGGGGGTCGACCACGGGAGCAGGGCGGGGTGTATGGGTGATTTGGTTTGGGTAAGAATGCTTTTCCCAAACCTTTACTTGCAAAATTTTTTTCCCTCGAAATCAGTCTGCAGAATATTTTTTTTCTGAAATCACCTATACCCCAACCCCCCGCCCTTCCCCTCAAAAATCAAATGGTCGGTCCCTAGTTTAAGTCCTTGATTGAATAATTAATTTATCTCAGTATGCTTTTAGCTTTAACGTTTACTTAGCATAATCATTGTAAAGCGCTATGAAAGGGTAGTTGAATAGAGCGCTATATACATAATCATCATTATTATTATTATTATAATTAATTATTATTATTATTTTGTGATTCACTTAAGCACAGTTTTAACTTTCGATCCCATATCCCATCATTATATTTCACTGCAAGCCTGCAAAAAAAAAACTCTGCAGAGCCGACGCACAGCACATTTCCCAGAACTTGTGTAGCTTTGGTTTACTTTGTATTCATGGGACTATTTTTTTTTTTTTAGCTTTTTTGGCATTTCGAACGAAGAACGTTATCATGACACTCTTGCAACGCAAAGGCCATCTTAACTTGAAACAACTGGGCGTAAACAAGATACCAATCAAGAGAGAATGTGGCTCTCTTGTACCAACTAAATGCATTTTATGGGGTATACTTAAGACGTTTCTTTCAGCTAGTCAACATCCATTTAAGAGCCGAGTAAAAGTTAATTCTGATTGAGAGCAGGGAGTAATGATAATACCAAAGCTGGGGCTTGGTAACTAAGGCAAGCGAAATCTCGCTAGCCTACCTGAAGCCGCACCCTCCTCCTTCCTTCGTTGGAGGGAGGGTGCGGCAACACATAGGCTAAATCTCGCATGCTGCCAAATCCATTGTAAGAACTATTGTAGTTGTCAGGTTTAACGACATTTTTCCTTCATCATTTTATAGCAATAGCAGAAGTTTACAAGAATGAAGGTAACGAAGCCTACTTAAAGGAAGATTACGTAAACGCTGTTTACTTTTATACTGAGGGGATTAAAGTCAACTGTAAGGACCAAGATCTCAATGGCAAACTGTACAGCAACAGAACCTATGCAAACCTTGGTTTAGGTAAGTCTATTTGTAAGTTCCAAATAGTGGTGAGGCAGCGTGAAATCCGGACGAGCTGAGTTTAAATCGACCGCGTCTAGCCTGCATAACATGCGACATTTAGCCGAGCGCCAAGGAGGAGACAATCAAGCACGCAGGGGGAAAGACGAGTATGGACCACGCTCGTTAAAAGCAAACTGCTTTAACACTGTACTAGCTGGTGCAGCTAAAAAAGTACACGATCAACATTTTCGGTTACAAAATGAATGATGTTTCAAGTTGATAGAGAGAACGCGAGGGGGAGGGGGTAGAGGAAACCGAGAGCTCTCGCCCTCCCTCCCCCTTCCTAGAGCTTGCTTGTATGCTACCATCTTGCAGCTTTAGCTATAAATAGTACATCAATTTGGAGGCAAAAATAAAACCGTTCCGATTGATTCACCACGTTTTTGTTGGAGACTTAAATGCTTGAAAACGTCCTCCAGCGCTCTGGGCATTTTTTACCTTACTGAAATATTGTTTTCGATTTAAAAGCTGCCTGGCTTGCTGCGTTTCTTGTTAGATGTGAGTGACTATTTACTAGTTGGTTTCTTTAAACATCATAGGGAATTACATTTACTCACTGACGGACGCAAAAAATGCCATGGATAGACTACCATTGTCAATCAAACCGATAATAACAGGTAATTTCTAACGAAGGCTTATTAGTTTCGGGAACAGAAAGGGATTGAGTTATAACATTGTTAAAACAGTGTTAATAGAGTGGACATGTCGGTACACAACGCTCAATGGCATCTTCCTATCATTATGACCTTATTGACCAATAAAAACGTCGCCTTAATTTATTCATCACAATCTGTGAGAAGCCAAAAGGGACAAAGGATTGTACATCACACTGCTCCCTTCTGATGTACTGGAGCCAGTCAAAGCTTCTATAATTGAACACTGCTGCTTCTGAGGGGGGGTGTGTCAGAATAGCCGCCTCCCTACCCCAATAGTTTTGACCCCTAGGCCTGATCCACCCACCCACTGTTAAAGCAGTCTCTGGGCTATCCAGCTGTACCGACCAAGACAGCAAGCCACCTACTTTTGGCGACACTGCACTGGCCTGGAGCCGGTGCCAGGCGAAACCCTAGTGGCCACGTTTTAACAAGATCAGACAGCCATAAGAGAGAGAAAAAAGGAAAGTACACCAAAAAATATAGAGCATACAAAAGCCAGTGTGGCGAGTATTAATACTGAGTAGGATAAGAGTACTATAGTGCTTATTTAAACAGTTAATTAGTTGTGTTTTCACGTCATAGATAAATTAAAGGAATACCAATCCAATAATAACATCCTGTAACTGTTGGACAGAATTTTGTTGTATTTATCTAAAGCTACTGGGATTTAGGTGCTGCAAGGATGCACTTCTGGTGTCATAATTAGCGAATTATGTTGCTCAGACACCAAGGCCAGCGTGAAATTAGACTTTGATCAATTAAGGCATGAAATTTTAATGAAAGAAAAATATGAAAAAGAAACTTAATTAAACTTATTTTCTCTTTAACACGGAGCTTCAAAATTCTTGGCCATCTCGCTCGATGACCGCTGACGCTTGATAAAGTGTAAAATTTTTTTCACTATTTTGCTTTTCAAGACTTTGAAAACTATGGAAGAAATTGAAGCTTATAATCAGGGGCGATAGCTTAATAAAGTCATCGTCACATGTTTATGTTCGCGGTCTATTGAGACTTCAAAAACAGAGCATGCTTAAAGGCAGTGGCGAAAAACCTTTATTGTCATTTTGCGAGGTTTAGTGATAATAGTCACCAAGTTCTATTTGCTCGCTCGCTGTTTCGTAATAATTGAAGGATTAGGGGCGGGACACATAAGATGTGGTCCGAATTTGCCTTTTTTCCAATGTATATATTTACTGATGATAAGCTATATTTTTATGATTTCAGGAGCAAAGGCCTCTGTGAAGCTGAGTCTGTTTGAGCTGGCGATTATATTCTGTCATAAAGTTTTAGCAGTATACTTTTGTTCTTTCCAACTTACGTCATGCACGCTCAATAGAAATGTATATTAATTTACCTCTTAAGGCTGGTTTAACTAGCGACGGAGTCGGAGTCGTAATCAGAAGCGTAGAGCTTATGATCGAGTGAAAACAACGTTACGATTCCGCTTAAGAACCAACCAATCACAAAGCGTGGGAACCTGCATTTTGCCTTTTGTCTATCATTCGTAAACAATAGCTAAAACAATGTAACTACTCCGTCGACCAATTAGCGCTTCTGACCGGATTCCGGACAGATTTTGCGTCATCAGTATGGAATTTCTTTCGCTGAGTCGCAGACGTTCCTCCGCGCTTAACGTCTCCAGCGGCGAAAAGCGAGGAGAAACGGATGTTTTAGCAGGCTAGCTATACGCATCACCGTCAAGACTTAGTCACAAATAAAATTGGATTAAAATA